AAAACACTGTTTAACGTCTCTTTTGTAATAACACTGTAAGGTTCTAATAAACCACGGAAAAAATAACGATAATTTTATTCAGTCTGTAAGCGCCTGAAAAATACATCTAAAACAATAGCGTTGATATTAGTTTTTTGAAACTATAAACACTTTTTGTCGATTTAAACATTCCGTAATACGAGTGTAGACTGTAAACGAAAAATAATGCATTTTTTTTCTGGTAGTGATTAATATACTATCACTGATACTCACTTTTTTGTTTATTATATTTTTAATATTGCTTGTTATATATATTTCTAATGTTGCTTCTAATATTGTTGTCACGTGACCGCAAAAGTCACGCTCCTGTTACTCATATCAGAACTTAGAGAATTCAACCTTATGCATATGCATACATAGATTATTCATTTCAGAGGGCCGTGTATATATGTTTTTGAAGCATATTTTTTTATTCAATTATTGCCATAATATTTATTTCGTTAAATATTTATACGTTAAATAAAAAAAAACCAAACATATAACAGAAACCTGTATTTTAACTCGTAGAAGACAACCCTATTACGGGATGCTAATCTTGAATGATACTATATATTTGATGTTATGTAATATTAAAATTATCTTGTATTATTTTTTCTTAATTCCACATATCACTATTTCTAGGTCCAAGTTCTGGATCGGGCTGCTCATCAGAATCGGATAAATGAATTTTAGCGTTTAATAGGTTATGTTAATTTTACCATTTAGAACTTTGAGGCCAAAATATACGTGTCGACGAGTTATAATGAATTCATACACTTTAACAACTGTCAAGATTTAATTACGAAAGTGAGCGAATTGTTAATTATCACAGAACAGATGATTGTAAACTGTTCCAATGTTAAATAAAATGTAAAGTATGTGTTACGGAGCTTTGAAAGCGTGCAAGTTGTCATATACAGGATCCCACTTTCCGTTTTGGACTAGGTACTAAAGACTATTAGGTCAAATAAACACCAAACCAATAACATACTGGTGGACAAAAATATAGGCCCCTTCTATTTATACTATTGGTAGTTTTCTTCATTTTTAATATTACTTATGTAATGGTAAATAAACAGATGATTAATTTAAATATAGGTACATTGTTTCATTAAAGAACTTACAGTTAATAAAAAAAATGTTAACATGTTTTCAGATCACTCACGACACTTGCTTTGGTAGATGACCTAATTTTATTCTCCATCGATTTATAATCACTTTTTTTTATTAAAATAACAAAGATACCTTACTCAAAACTGAAATTAATGTGTAGGGTAAATATTTATTTCCGCTCTATGCTCTGCTCTACCATATTATCTACAGCTCTATATGAATGAAATAAGGTTGATTTTTATTGAGCTGTTTTAAGAAAGCATGCTCGAAGTTCTCCAATCTAGTACTCTCTTATTTTCTTATAAGAGTTATTAACAAAAATGGGATCATTATGTGTACGGCTCCAGTTTAAAAGCTCAATAAAGGTTAAATATGTTTTTCTGGAAATAAGGAATTGAATATATTGTAATGAACATCTTTATAATGTAACATATCGTTCATAGTGACGGGTGGCAAATGCTGTTCGTATCATGTTTTGTTAAAGCGAGTGATCAAAAATACAAAACTATTTTACGACTTATTATAGATCAGCACATATAGCGTCGAGTGTAAATCGAACTGTCGAACGTTTTTGTAACGAAATTTGCTCAGCTCCATCTACCGCCCTAAAGGGAACTAATTTCGAATACAAAAATTGATATGTGCCCTCTATGTTTCATTTAACTATTAAGGGTGCGGGAACGACTGAAAGATTTTATGTTTTTATTTGCAGTATATAAGAAAATTGTTTATCATTTTAACAGTTATTGCCATTTTTAGAAGTTATAATAATATTGTAATTTATCATAATCTTTTACATTTAATTAATTATTTCGAGCCGAAAAAGACTTATAGGGGACAGGTCTTGCCATAGCACTTTAATATTTTCAAATAAAATTCAATTATGTTGTATTTCTAGGTGCATATGTTTAATTAATTATAATAATGTATCTAGAAATGGTTTCAGTAAGTTGCATTTTCAGCAAATTACCGTGGTCAATTATGGTATCTGATATATCGGATGTCAATCCCGAATGAGTGATAGGAAAATTTAGTTTGAGGTCGGTGTGATGTGTCCTATTTTCATACATATATTTATTAAACATATATTTTAAACATAACATTCAATAATTTACATAATTCTCAAGTGTCTTATCTATACTTATATAATAAAGAGGAAAGATTTGATTATTTGTTTGCATTTAAAAAACACCTACGCAAAGCCACATATTTTACGCAGGCGAAGTCGCGAGAGACTATCCATTATTGGTATAAAATCGCTCACGTTTTTATAGCAAGTTATGTCGCAGTGTGGCCGAGCAAATGAACTGAATTCTTATATACTATTAATTTTCAAATTTAAAAAATATCTTTTATTACTTACCTAATATCATTTTGCATTTAATCTAATAACTCTCTTGAATCTTATACACTTGATTACAAGTATTCGCCATTTATTTAATGTATATGCTATTACTTCTAAATAATCATCTCTGTCTTTATGATATGCATTTATTTATTTATTTACTAGGCTTAAAATACAACCTAGCCGAAACATATGTTCTCAGTTACTAGTTTGAGTCGCAGACACTTGTTTTTTTTTTTTCACTTATTTTTATAAAATAATTGTAAAAGCCTTCTCTATTCAAAAATATTTATTATATATGCTAAAACAAACTATTGTTTTAGCATACAGTTCGTCTACTAATAATTATTTATTTATTGTTTAGAAAACTTTTTTTCATCTTAATTTGGTCTTCCAGTATTTATTGGTTTCCTCTCAAGGGCACATCCAGCCTTAAGTTAGGGGGGTCACCAGATTTGAGACGCGTTATAATAAACTATAAAAAACATAAATCCCTTAAAAACAATTGTGTAAATTATTAAATTCGTTCGTACCAGCTTAGGGTAGGCTGTTGACTGTTTCTTTAATTTCAATAAAAAATAATTTACATGCAGTCAAAATAAAATGACGATTTTAGTTAGCTATGTTCTTCTTTATCTTGTAACGTATAGAGTTCATTTTGGCCGTTGTATGTACATACTATATTTAATACCAAAATTAAAAAATAGTGACGCAATAGGTGACGTTATTTTACCTATTTTCGTTACATAATAAATGCATATTATATACTCCAATATTTAATATCTTCTTATATTTAGTGTTTGAATCAAATATATTTTTTTGTAATAACGTTTGCGATGCTATCCTGATACGAATTGTTATTTCACCTCATTTGTCGCAATCCTTAATTTATTAATTATTGTTGTTTATTAGTCATGCAATTGTATTATATTAGATATGATTTTAAAAATAAATAATTTTATCTATAAGTTCTTTTTTTATATCCTACCTCTATTTCCTTGTTTTGTATGCCTTTAAATTTATATGGCAAGTAAATTAAATACGAAAGTATAGAATGTAAAAACTTTTTAACTAAAATTGAATAGACTTCAAACTTTAATAATAGGTAACATTAAAAATACTTTTTTGAAAACCTCGACAAAATCCGTTTAGCCAAACTCGAGATAATCGCGGACAATACATACAACACGTGTTAAAGTGCGAACCTCCTTCTCCTAAGTCTGACAAATACTATGCTGAAAACTGCATTAATTTTTTTTAAGTCAGTTGTATGTATACCCAAAACCTTCTCCTAAGTCTAGCAAACATTATGCTGGAAACCGCATTAAAATCGGTTCAGCCAAACGCGAGATAATCGCGCGCAAACAAACATACATACATGTCAAACTGAGAACCTCCTTTTTTAATTAGGTTAAAAAAATGATAAATAATCCTTATCTCAAAAGCGACTTGCAAGAAAATGCTATTGAAGGCGGAGGTCCTCTGTAGATTTATTCTGTATTTTCTTGAATAAGCCGCTTTTGAGATAAGTATTATTGATTACTTTTATATAAGTTTGAGGTCGGTTCTATTTTTTAAAGTTTTTATTTCAAAAATCCATATATGTGAGACTGCTACTTCTGCGTGGTCTGTACCACGCGTGCGTTTTCATTTTCTATACAAACTTTCACTCCCATTTTCATCCCTTATTTTCTGTTTTTCTTGATAAAATATATCCTATGCTGTAGCTTCCCGCAGGTGAAATTTTTAAAATCAATCCAGTAGTTTCGGAACCTATTCGTAGAAAACAAAAGATCATCTTCCCTCTTTATAATAATATAGATCTATATAAATAAAAATATTTAACATAATCAAAGTCTTAAAAAACAAAATTTTATTTATTCGGTCGGCATAATTTATTTCCAATAATTCTATGGAAAGATTTGATAGCTTGTTTGCATTGGATAGGCTCCAAAACTATTGGACCGATTTAAGTCTTTCATCTACAGGAAAATACATAATGCGCGTTGCACATAGGATATAATTGACGCAGGCAAAGCCACGGGGAAACAGCTATTTTGGTAGATATTGGTTCACAATTCAAGACAAAATCGGTTGATATACCCCTACTTTCATAAAAAATATAGGAACATACTTCTTATACACAATAAATCCTCCTTTCGGATTTGATGTTATGAAAATATACCTACAATCTTTTTTTTTTAGTTCAGACACATGAAATACATATCGTCTAAATATTAAGGTGATATATGGTGAAATGTGTACTTAACTTGTTATAAAAAGAAAACTACTTATTCGATTTCGATAAAATTTAAATGGTGCCACTTCGGTTCATCAAGCTGTCGAATAAAAACAGAATTTTGAAAATCGGCCCACAATTGGAAATATCGGGGAACATAAATCGCCGTCGAACATATAACCTCCTCCTTTTGGATTTTGAAATCAGTTGAAAACAACATTGAGAAAAAAATATATATTATTTTTCTATAAAAATAACCTTTTTTAAAAAAAAATCGACTCTTTTTACAAATATTAAGTGTTAAATTTTCTAAATAATAAAATCACTGTAAAACTTTTTTGGAACTAATGTTATATAAAACTAATATCAACTTGTAACAAATAGAATAACCAATAGTTAAGGAACAACATTCCATGGTGTAAAACTATTTGGGTTCGGCTTATCAAGCTGAAACAAAAGAAAAATAATAGGTTCTTAATATTGTTATAACATTCATAAATTATATTGTAAACTAATTCGTGTATTAGAAATTTAAGTTTAGGATATCATGAGAGGTACGATTTACATAAATTATTGTACTATTCATAAAACAAGCCTAGTATATTCTTGATAAACTTATAGGCTTTTACAAACCTTTTTAGTAATATGGTCCTCACAAGCCATACGAATCCTCGCTGATGTCGCCGGCGATTCAAGGTCAAATTCAGGAGACACACCCGCCTCAATTCTTGCTGCCTTTATAGCCTCTTTGATTGCGAAAAACACGGAACTCGCCAGAAATAGAGGTGGCTCACCGACAGCCTATAAAAATGTGAAATAAAAACAAATGACAAAACCGAACCACTATATCATAATATTCAAACATCGTTAAAACACGATTTTACTGAAATATTTACCTTTGAAGAATACACTGCCCTCGGATTCGGAGCCCCCTTCAACAACGAAACGTTAAACTCTTGAGGTATGTCACCGAAGCCAGGTATTTTGTAGGCACCAGGACCTCTCGAATACAATGTACCGGTAGGAGAATAAATCAATTCCTCCATTGTAAACAAACCATATCCCTGAACAAATGCACCTTCTATTTGACCAATATCTATAGCTGGATTTATACTTTCACCCAAATCCATAACTATATCGGTTCTTATCACTTGGTGATCTCCACTTAGACAATCGATTTCCACTTCCGAACATGCTACACCGAAAGTATAATAATTGAAAGGTTTACCGGTATTAGTTTTAAAATCATATCCAATGTCTGGAGTTGCGTGGAATCCAGTTGCGGATAAACTGACTCTGTCAAGGTAAGCAGCAATGATCCAGTCTTCCCATTTGCCATTAGGATTCTTTTCTTTGAACGGTTGTAGGCGTTTCACAAGCTTCTGGCACGCATCGAGCACCGCCATTCCATTTAGATCGGATCCCGCACTCGCCGCTGTCGCTGAAGTATTTGGTACTTTATCAGTAGCAGTCTCACTAATATGGATTTTTGAAATATCGACTCCGAGAACACGCGAAGCGACTTGAAGCATCTTTGTGTGTAACCCTTGCCCCATCTCAGTACCGCCGTGTGATACCAGTACTGATCCATCTACGTAAATCATTACTAAAGCGCCCGCTTGATTTAGCATTTTTTCCGTGAACGCTATACCAAATTGAGTAGGAATAATAGTAATTCCCCGTTTTCGCCAACGATGTTGTCTAAAAATAAATTTGTTAAATTTAAAAAAATCATAATGAACACGAAAGACACGCTCGTTTTAAAAAGCACAATACACGTACTTGTTGAAACATTCGATATTCTTCTTTCTTTCAACGAAACCACTCTTTTCAACACATTCGTCCCAACATCTCTGTAGTGTACAGTGTGTCAAAGTTTGCCCATAGTGTGTAACTAAATTCTCTCTGTACAAATTTAGTTTGCTAAGATCTTCAGGATTCTTCCCAAGAACAGCAGCTACATGTCTTAGCATATTCTCCGCGCCAAACATTCCCTGTGGTCCTCCAAATCCGCGGAATGCAGTATTAGAAGGCAAATTAGTTTTACATACATGTCCAGTAACTTCAACGTTTGGTATATAATAAGCATTTCCGAAATGGAACATTGCTCTTTCTACTACCTGAAAAAATATATAATTTTTAGGAATCAACCTAATATATTTAAAAAATATATTAGGTTGATTCCTATGAAAAGTTTTATAGTCGGATATCAGCGGCGTTCTTCTTTTTCATCACAATCTTCAAAACAAAGTTAGAAATGAACAACGAAAACTAATCAACCCATCGTTAATAATGTTATTTACTTCAGATTTGCCACACACCTGATCCAAGAATACTTTTTTCAGGATAATTTCTTAAGAAATGCTAATGTACTGTACTTACAGCGCCAGACAAATCCATTGAATAACCTCCATTGTTGTAAATGTTAACAATAGCCCCCATCAATTTACCCTCTTTTGACGCTGCTACTTTGTACTTAATCAAAAAGGGATGCCTGGTGCCAGTCATCAACATATCCTCATCACGGTCGAGCATACAACGCACTGGTTTCTGAAGTTTGTGAGCTGCTAACGCAACTGGCAGAGCTGTAAGTATACCCCTAGACTCTTTACCTCCAAAACCTCCACCCATGCGCTTCACTCTAGCGACAATTCTATTCATTGGAACATGTAGAATATGGCTGGTAAGTTTCTGCAAAATAGAAAAATAGTTCTAAACTCAAACACGTTGACACAACACAACAACTAATGAGACCTTACACACAAAATATTTGTTTTAAAACATACCTATGTACTAACGTTTTAAGATTACCCACAAAATAAAAAATGACTCAATAATTCTCAATCCTCATTTACACAATTAGACTGCTTACCACTATTTCTGAAGGATGTTGCGAAGAGCAAAATATTTCTATTTCATCATCTTCCTTTTTAGGAATCGCAAAAGCTGCATGCGTTTCTAAATAAAAATGCTCTTGTCCACCCATTCGGCATTGCCCTTCGACAATTATATTATTTTTATCTTCAAAAACTGATTTGACGTCCCCTCTTCTTATTACCTTTGGATATTGTGGATAGAATGAGTTATGCTTAATAGCATCTTCCATAGTAACGATTATCGGTTGAAGCTCCTCGTATTCAATTTTTACTTTTCTTGCAGCAGATTGAGCTGTTGCCTGATCGACTCCTACGATCGCTCCTATTATTTGTCCCTGGCTAGTAACCTTTTTGCTTATAAAGAGTTCTTCATCATGAAATATTGGACCAATTTTATTTTGTTCTGCAGTCAAGTCTTTGTATGAAAAAAATGCAACAACGCCAGGTTCTCTCAAAGCTTCTTCGGGATCCACTGATTTCAAATTCGCGTGGGCTTTAGTGCTTAGAACGAAAGCCAGATATAATTCATTTTCAGCTGTAGGTATATCGTCACAGTATATCGCTTCGCCTGTGACTTGCTTGTAAGCTGACATATGTTGAATAGGTCTTCCAACCATATCGGTTTTAATTTGCTTATCTCCTACTAATTCAAAATATTGCGAACTTTTTGGCATGCTACCATGAAATTGGTCAGCACCACTACTATGATATGGTTTTATAATATTATCACTTATATAATAATCTCGACACATTTCTTTTGCAATAGCTAAATAAGCTTTCAGAAACAGGCTCATAGTAAGAGCTCTTCTGAACTGTATATTACCTCCTGGAGCTGAAGGATCGAGTGGAAGTTCTTCTATCAAATGTGAATAAGTTTTTTCAGGCAATTCTTCATTCCACTTTTGCTCTTTTAGTGATCTACTTGTATTTGTAGCTAGCACAGTCATAGGAGCCATACCACCATAAGCAATATCGATATTTTTTATTACGTTTGTTTTATCATAGAACTCCACATTTATTGCAGCAGTAACGATGGATATATCATCTTCCCTCCTTTTTGCTTGCTTCAAAGCTTTCACATACTGATATTTATTTGAAAATGGTATTTCTATCGAAACTAAGATTTCATCAGGCTTAACTACATTTTTCCTATAACCTGTAAAGAACTTTTCATCCATCAAAACAGATCGATGACCGTGATGTTTACTAATCAAATTCAGTTTAACTTTTAACGACATCAAAATTGGATTCAAGTCGGAGATAGGACTGCCAGTCATGATGTTTCCTCCCAATGCTGCGACGTTTCTTATCTGTTTACCGGCAAACCAATTTAACATATCAATAATTGTTTTCAGTGTCCGTGTTTTGTATCGAGGTAGTTTTTCTATATATTCCTTAAATATATTATCCATATCCATTAGAGTCACAGCTGCCCCAACTGTTAGACAGTTATCATTTTCTGTAATCGTATTCATTTCTGGAATAAGGTTCGGCATTATTATAGTCGGATATATAAAATGTTTAAATTTTACTTCAACACCAACTTCGGTATTACCAACTACAATTTTAGCATTAGGATATTGCTCTTTTAATTTCAAAATTGAAGTCAATTCTGTTGGACGATGCCATGTAGTGTTCTTTCCTTTAAATATTAAATATTGTTTATCATATATACTCGATAACTTAAGTTCAGGTGGAAATATTGGTTCTTGACTAGGGTCGTAAGGTAGAAATGATGATCTATCAAAGATATAATCAGTTTCACTTTTCGACTCTTTTTGATCAGTCTTATTTTTACAACAGTCTTTGCCCATAGCACAGCCAGTATTTTGAGAATTTTGAAGTCTTTGGGTTTCCCAATCTTCAATGAATGTTTTGTAACCTTCTATAATGGCTCGATATCCTGTACATCGACATAGGTTGCCTTGGAACGCAACTTCCATATCGGAATACTTGATTTTATTACAGCTCCTCATTAAAGAATACATGGACATGACAATGCCGGGAGTGCAGAAACCGCACTGAGAACCATGTGCTTTAGCGATTCGCTCTTGCACTGGATGAAGTTTCGTTTTCGTGGAACCGATGCCTTCGACTGTGGTTACTGCGAGACCGTGCATGGCGCACACTGGTGCCAAACAGGCGTTAACAGCCAAATGACTGATCATGAACTATAAGAACATTATTTCACAAAATAGCACATGGATAGGTATTAGTCTTAGGTTGGTAATTGAAAGTTAAAATATTTGTAACGAAATTGTTTCAGATGTTTAAGTAACATTGACTAGAATAACACACGATTTCTGAATTGAGAATTTTAAGTTGAGAACGTCTCAAACCGCTCTCAAACTGTAGTTAAACGACACTTTAATAGGTTTTCGTTTCTGATTTTAGTTTTTGATCATTGATACCAGTTAGATAAAATTAGGACTATTGACTAGTGAAACGTAATAAAACTTAAGTTTAATAATAATCAGTTGGGATTTTGCACTTTTCTCAAATCAGAAACCGACCGTAAGTTTGCTGAGTTAGGTAGCTCAATTGGTAGACGGTACATTAGCCAATAGTAAAGGTTCCGGTTCAAACCCTTGATACACTTATTTTTTTAATTTATTATATAAATAGTATATAAAGATGTTTCCAATAAGTCAGGTTCATCTATTTTGTCGATTTAATGCATGCGAATGTTCAATAACATGCCCATAAAATTAAATCGCTAAAAATAGAAATGAGAATTTACTTATTATAACAGATATAACTCATAGTAGAATACGTATATATGTAAACAGATACAGGTGAGTTTTTACAAAGCCGCAGCATACCAAAATATACAGTTAAGGAAGAGTTAGTAAGTTTCCTGCGTTTCTGTAAGATAAATAAAAATATAGCATAGTTGTATGAATATAAAATTTATCAAATACCTAACTACCCTATGGCGTTAGTATATCAATATAAAGGATACACAATTTTACTATCACGCCTGTTGTATTTGGACACCATGACTGTACAAGCTCCACAGCCACCTTCCGCACACCCCAACTTGGTACCAGTCAGTCGCAACTTCTTCCGGAGGTACCAAAGCAGCGTCCATTCTGGATCTGGATTTTGCTCCACCACCTGTAAATTTTGAGAATTCTATTATTTACTTTCATTAAAAAGTAAGCGCATTTATTTCTTGATTTTATTTCTGGGGACATCAAGATTCAAATTTGTTCATCAAAAAAGCGAAGTATGGGAGAAAATTACAAGGTGCGACTATTATTTGCAGAGGGTCGAATTTAGGGTGAGAGGGGCATTAGGAGCAGGAGCCCCGGGCGCCAGTGTGGATCGGATATCCGCCGGATGTTGTTTTCGATCCTTGCATGTTATTACAATTGTAAGAACCCAAAACTTCAATCTTAAACGAATTGGATATCAAAATGTAGGCATAAATCAATGAATGAATACTACACCAAAAAGTACCCAGGAATACAATACGTAATAAATATATATACCTAAGATATAATTTCATTTTGTTTTGTTTAAAGATTATATAAAATCAACCCATATTTAACTCACATAACTGATAATGTACCTACAATGAACATCCTTATCACAATTAAACAATTTCTTCCAGTTAACCGTAAGTTATCTCTTACTCTCCATTTCCTTTTATATTCTGTGTTCAATTGGTATGTATCAAGTACTTTGTGGTATGTATTTTCACCAATTTCTCCGCAAATGTTAGACTTATTTATAGTTTTTTTTTTATCCGAAAGCTTCATGGCGTGAAGTGGTGCAAATTTTTATCGAAGTAGGATCAGCAGTTTCTTTTTTACATCAAATTAACTAAAAGCATTTGTAAAAATAACAAATCACTTAGCTGGCATATTTATGTCAAAAAAGACAATAACGCGCCAATTGAAAATCACCATCGGGTTTAGCAATCTGAATTGGCTGTCTATTTCAGTGCAACGGTAATAAATTTATTGTAATTGGTGAATATTATAAAATGTATAATATAGCATAGATATACCACACCACACACCACACCAGCCCTTTTACGTCCCCACTGCAGGGGCTCAGGCCTTCCTTATGGATGGTTAAGGAGGATGGGCCATGACCCTCCACGCTGGCCCAATGCGGATTGGAGGGTATTGACGACTGCAAATGCAGCCGGGACCAACGGCTTAACGTGGCTTCCGAAGCACGGAGTAGCTCGATATAATAATTTTTTGGTCACCCATCCCGTGACCGACCCTTGCGAAAATTGCTTTACGACTACGATCGCGGGCCGTGGCGCTTATCCACTACGCCACCGAGCTACTACCACCTAAGCAAAAACTACATATTGCGCGATCTGCAAGACGATAACAATGACGCAATAAATTCAGAAAATGATATGAATGTCATTTATACTTGTAAATATCACAAGTATAGAACTAGTGACCGTGTCGTCACTTGTCGTATCAAGGAGGCAAAGGTCAATACCTTTCGCTATCGGACCTCTCAGAATGTTCCATGCGTCTTAGCAATCAATTCACATAGCAAATAAATATATAAATATCGCTCAAAAACCTATAGTTTTAATAATAGTTTATTTATAGTTAGTCTAACTATATAATGAAGGCCAATTAGAGACTGCGTCTCTAACTAGTCCTACTGGTCTTGAAGTTATATGAATATTTCATTAATTATTTTATACAGATAGACAATGATATTAATAAGTTAAGTTATTATACTTATTGTAAACTAAGTTTCTGCCAGCGGTTTCGCCCGCGTGGTGCTATAAATTGAATCCCACTGTTTCACCCCCTTAGGGGTTGAATTTCTAAAAATCCTTTCTTTCTGATCAAAAATCATAAAAATAACCCTTGTATCAATTTCAAGTTTCTGGGTACTAAGTAGATGAATATCTAATAAAATTTAATATTGGTACAGATATTTTGAAAGTATTTTATGTGACATCTAAATAATATATTGTGTTGACATAATAATAGACAAGGAAGCAAATTACGCAACATTGACACACTTCAATTATATCGTCGTAGTAAATATAAATATTCTTCCAGTTGTATACGATAAACGAAACTACTAATACGAATTCTAAAAAAATATAGGACCTCTTTAGACATATCAGAATAGGCCAGCTCTTACACTTATGCGTGCTTAAAAAATATACGCATTGTGATTAGATTACCTCCTGTATTCTCTTATCGGTTAAAAATAAAATAAAATAATTATATATTCTCAAAATAAAATCAATGTTTGAACCATCCTTGCTTTATCTTGAACATTAAAATTCCATTGTTACTAACCCCGAAACACGTATATAAGTAGAAAAGGTAGTATCAAACAAAAACAAGCGTTGCATAAACATACTACACTTTCGTGTGTTGTGCGGGACACAAGCTACCAGAAACATGGTAGTAACTATCATTTACTTAGGGATGAACAAAAGACAAAAAAACTAGATAAATAGTATTAATTTCAAATGTTTATTTTTTATTTTAATGATATCATTAAATCATGTGTCGTGTCGGTAATATTTGTCGGTATCGAATGTGTCCATGTTAACGTAGCGCCTTAAAACTCGTTTGTTGTGTTGCTAGCGCACGCCTTCCTTCAGACCCCGGCGATTAAATGCTTTTTTATCCCCTTTTAATCCCGTTAAGACCGGTCATCAGGTTATCTACAGCTAGGGTTGGCAGACATTTCCATGGATGTCCAGTATTCAATCTAAAAGGTCTAACGTTGCGCGTTATGGTAATGCTAACCTCAAATAAAATATCTAACAAATAGTATGAAAAGGGAAAGGATCAAACTAAGTTGAGCTCACTCACCTTGCAGTGTTTATTCATCCAGCAATGTTCTTTTACTGCCTATTTTATTTATATTTCATTTTAACATAGAATAAATGTTATCTGTATCAATAGTGAAAACTCGTCACCTTAGTTTAAACGTCAATAAAACTATATAAACTTTTAAACTATCACGTTGCATTATATTAGATTATGTGTATAGATATGAAACGGATATTAAACGCGATAGATTGATGGTTAGGTTTTTCAATACAAACGCGATGAAACAGTTTAAAAGTTGTTTCATTTATGGATAGTTTGCGTGAAATATAAGAAATCAATAACTTTAATAAAGGTGAAAAATACTTAAATAAAAATTCTATTAGAGGAGAGCGGTTTCTGAAATCGGTCTTTTCTTTGAATCTGGCCGTAATTTCTATGTTAATTTTCCTATTATTAGTACGAGTAACTATCGAACTAGAATGTATATCGCTAGAAATCGCAAAACAAATATCATAAAATCTTCAAAAGCGAACACTCTTTTGCACATCAAAAAAAATAAGAGAATCCCTATTCATGATAAGTTTGTGACAACCAGTGACAACATTTTAACTTGAGTTATTTTTACGAAGTGTGTAGATAAATAAGATAACTTTGATCTCGAACTGCATGTACCTACTTAGATAAAATACGTTTATCTTGTCAAAACAAACTCATATTGTTTCAGTGATGAGCATAATAAAGTCAAAATTATTTAGTCTATATATATCGATCACTTAGGGCCCGTCGCACAAACGTCCATTATTGTTTAATGACGCCTTTAAGCTTTAATAAATGACAAATTTGTATGGGTAATGTCGCTTTAAACTAATGAAATATTTAATGGACATTTGTGCAACTGGCTGTTAGGGTAAAATACCCAGAAGTCGGCCCCGCACCAGTAGTCGACCTTAACAGGCTTCAAAGTCTTGTAAATAGTGTTGAACTCGGTTTATACCATTGAGATGACGTCTGATCGAATCTATGTTCCCTTATTAGGTAATAACGTACGTAATTAACACGAGTTTGCTGTGAATTCAGGTGGATTTTTATGTTTTATTGTTATAAAATGTTTGTATTGTAATTAAGCGTTAGAGGAATTTTATTTGTTTATTACATTATAATTCAGTGGGCCGACTAATGCATTTCGATTTTTTAGGTTTGATCCATCCAGAGCTCGGCCTGTAGCGGCAGACTACTGGTTTTATTAGGATTTTCTGCGATTTCGTTGAAATTCTTACAGTAAATAGTTCATATTATTTGTTTTGGATTGAATATAACTTTTAGATTAAAATAAGTTACGGTTAAATAAGTCGGACGAAGGTTTTTTGTAGGTTATTAATTAAATGCAAATGCAAAAGCAAAATATTTAAACAACAAAACAAAGTTCAAAATAGATGTTTCTATTTAAAGTCCATAATTTTTAAATATAGTTGAATCAAATTAAGTCAAGTGGAGAAAGACAGATTTGTAAAGCCTGACGTGCTGTTGATCGTACATTCAACATCACGTCAGATTATAGATAAATTTCTGTTAAACTCAATTGCTGTAACCTCACGTGCTTCTGCATAGCTAGCTCAATGGTTAAAGCAGTCGCCTAGATCGCGAAAAGTAGGTTTTAATCCCATCTCGGGTTATCTGGGGCTGGTAGATATTTTAAGTATTTTTCAATAAAAATTATCAACCAATTTCATTAAGTACTTAAATTCTAAGAGAGTATATTTGCACTTTAATTATTTGTCTACAATGAATTTTATACCTATGACGCGATTATTTTTTATAACAATTATATTTGTCATATAAGCAATAGTTTACATCAACGTCAAGTGTTATCTTTCGCCTCGTTGGATACTCGTATTACACTATGATTATGAATCTTTAGAATATTGCAATATACTTACATAGCAAAGTTCCTATATTTGCTAGTTTGTTAAATACGAAACATACGTATTTTTTAACCGACTTTAAAATCAAAAAGGAGGAGGTTATATGTGCAACGGTGCGATATATTTTTATGTATGTTCACTGATTTTTCCACGAATTGTTGACCGATTTTCAAATTGTTTTTTTATTCGACAACTGAATCGTATCAGTAGGTAATTTATAACAAAACAAAATATGCTTTTCATCAGATATCACCTAAATGTTAAGATGATTATCTTCTGTTTATATCATCGAAAAAAAAACAAAAGATTGCGTATTTTACCTTCATTCAAAATCCGAAAAAGAATTTTGGTGTTAACTGGCATGTAGATTTTTATTTAATGTTTATCGATTTCCTTTTGAATTGTGAACCAAATTATATCAGTCTTGCTGTCTTCCTGCGACTTTATGTAGGTTTCCGTAGATAAAAGAATGTTATAATACAAAAACAAGGTAGGTACAATAGTTACAGACCTATAAAATGCAAACAAAGATGCAATCAAATCTTTCGTCTTTATATAAGGAGTATAAATTTTATTGGAAAAAATATGTTGGACAAACAAACAAATGTCCATTCCCACGAGTTTTACTATATTAACATATTTATATAAATATAGATATTTAGTAATATTGATATTGTAAAAACCGACTTCAAACTTTCAAAAAGTGATAAATAATAGTCCTTTTTATTTCATAAGCGACTTATTCAAGACACTGCTATTGAATTCAGGCGCCTATTATCAGTTTCTTGAATAAGTCACTTTTGAGAAAAGTACCTATTATTGATCGCTTTAATAAAATTTGAAGCCAGTTCTATTTAAAAAAAAATATATATAAAAAAGTTGAAGGTATTTCTAACTATTCTCCATTCTGAGTTTCATTATAGGGAAAAACTAAGGACCTTTTAGGTAGGTACTCGTATTTACTTTAATTATAATACCTATATTATAGATGTGATCGATGTTGTTTGCTATCTTGTAGAGTTAAAAAATACCTATTAGTAATTCTGAAGACTCTGAAATAGATAGAAATCTGTATGATTTTATTATGTCCTTTTTTATGGGCCCGATACAGCTTTTTAACAGCTTCGAATGAAAATAATGTATGCAGCCCTTTACACGAATTCAAGTCACACACATAAATCATGCATGAGTTTCGTATTCTAAAGACAGGATGTAAAATAAGTGATATAATAATTTGAAATATTTTTATTGAGCCCTAACCTAAGCTATAATATAAGCGCCTCATTCAATTTATTTTATTCTTACCGTCCCTGTAAGTGAACAAAGTGATCTTCGTTGATTATAGTTTTTAAAACTGTCATTGCCAATTTGTGAAACCATGTCATTATTGGTTCTAATGACAATATTTCAGTTCAACTATTGATCGCAGATTTTTTAATATACTGTTATCATTGCGTGAATCTATGACATTCGTCTTTGTGAACCATTATATAGACGTAATATCATAGGTTTGTAACTGGTTACCCAATATTGTCGTTAGATAACATTTGATAGCCACTTGCTTCACTTGTATTTGTTCTGATCGATGTTAAAGATAACCCATTAACTTGAAAAAAGGATATAAAGAAGGTATGATATAAGGTTTATATCAAAAATGATATAAAGAAGGTTTTACAGTCAACACAGCAGCCCAATGACTACTACGAAAAGGATTCGAAACGTCTAAAATAAAATAAAAAATAATAACCCGCTATTATATAGTCGTTCAAAACTTTCTTAAATATGTCATGTTCATGGAAATATAAGAAATAATTATATCACTACATTACTACTGCGCCATACATTTATGGAGGCCTTATTGTAAGGTATTGTAAGGAAATCGTGTGATAGTTAATAATTATCTTTTATGTAAGTAATAATTATACTAGATAAATTAAAATAATAAGTAAAGGAGTAATATAAGAAACAGTGAAATATTAAATAATAGTACTTAAGTAGGTACTATGTAAAAACTTGCTACATTTTTACCCGACTGCAATAGAAGGAAGATTATTATTACTTACTTAACATTATTATTTATAAATACCTATGTATTTTCTTTAAAAATGCTGTGGGTAATTTATAAATAAATATATATTATTTTGTATTATTATTCAAAATTTTAATTGTGATAATACCTTGTGAGTTTTCACAAGGTATTATCACAATTTAAATTTTGAAAATTTTCATACATTACCTACCTTTTTACCATTGACGAAGAAAACCAGCTCATTACTAATACCAGCCTCTTCTTCCAAATTTAATAGTCCCATGTTTTTATAGTTATCACTGCACTTGGGCACACGTCCGCTTCGCGACGTTTATTCCACGCTACTGATGATTGATTGTAATTATTTCCTTCATTGCATGCGCGCGAGCACAATAAACAAGTCCAAGACAACTTATCAGTGCCATAAGAAGATCAACTTGATGACAATTTAGCTACCTTATACAGGGTTATTTAAAAAAATACAAGCAAACTCGCGACACTAACCATATCTCGTATAAATTACCATGACACCTGCCCATTATATTTGTCATCATCATCATCATCATCAGCCCTTTTACGTCCCCACTGCAGGGGCTCAGGCCTTCCTTATGGATGGTTAAGGAGGATGGGCCATGACCCTCCACGCTGGCCCAATGCGGATTGGAGGGTATTAACGACTGCAAATGCAGCCGGGACCAACGGCTTAACGTGCCTTCCGAAGCACGGAGTAGCTCGAGACAATTTTTTTTGGTCACCCATGCCGTGACCGGTCCTTGCGAAAGTTGCTTAACGACAACGATCGCGGGCCGCGGCGCTTAACCACTACGCCACCGAGCTACTTATATTTGTCCTTGAACGACAATTTGAATTTCGAACCGTTCTTATAATTTTGATAAAATCATATCCTTGAAGATTTATCTGTGCATCATAAGCAGTATCAGGTCCTACCTCCGTTGCATCATAAATGATTGATGTCATAGAACAAGAGGTGTAAGGTCACTGGACGTAATCCGAAACTGGTCTCGGACATACATATATGAAAACATACTTAACATAATATATAGTCATTTTATTCGAAATCGTCGGGGAAAAATTAGAAACCGAAAAAGATTCCACACGTTGTCTATTGTCGTAATCTAACCGGGTCGCGGGTATCAATGAAAATAATATTAATATTGTCATCGTATATAGTTTTGATTTAAAATCGATGGGGAAAAAGATAATACCCAAAAATAATTCCTCACCCCCTACAACCCTATTTCATCCTTTAGGGTTAAAATTTCATCTTACGCTCGAACAAGTATTTACCCACTTTTTGTTAGTAGCTTAAACATAACGCGTTTCATGTTTCTTCTTCTTCAAAACTTACTGACTTCTTTTCAAACTCTATTTCACCCCTTAATTACCCTTAAGACAAAAGAAGAAAGCCAGCTCACATTATGTTTATAATATCATTTTTTTCAATTCTTGACACTCGCCATAATGCATACGAAAAATCCTCTTGTAAAACAATGTAACCTTTTAATTTCATTTCTGGCCGACATGAGTTTTTTCGCCATAAATAACCCTGTATATTTATACCAGATCCCTTTATAGGTCAGGGGCTCCCAATTTTTTTGTCCTCGGAACCCTAATTAACGGTATTTTTTTGTAGAACCTAATTTTGATAACTTAAGGAGTCAGCTTGTGCCTAATTTGAATATATTATTTTTATGTATTTTATTGCATTCCACAATTTAGTAATGTGCATGTGAAACTTGTAAGAAAGAAACACATTATTATTGAAAAAATAATGTTAAAATTACTACATTTAAATATGATTTAATTAATCTTACAATATATTTATCCCAAATTTTTCAATATGTTTTTTGACTAATTATTTTATCAAAAATCAATTAGATAACTCACGTATTTTCCGGACCCGAGCTAGTGACCTTATAGCTAATCGAAAAACTGTATCGCATCTATCCTATCCCGCGAAAATTAATATCATATAAAATGTGGCCAAGAAAAGACAATACGGCTCACACTATCAAAAAGTTTTCAGATCTCGTGTAAAGCCAAGCTTCTAAATCTATATGCTATAAGTTTACAAACCCTTACTTTATAAATTTTACACTTTATTCAAAATTATAATGTATAATATAATATTGGTAAATATAGTAAATAGAAATAGGTAAGTATGGATTTAAAGTTTTTAACACATATTGTTTTTTATTTGTCATAAAAATACCTATACCTAAACAATTATGATCGTACCTACTAGTCAATATTTTAAGTTTCCATGTGAATATCCATACGAACTTCTATCCCCTTATTAAAAATTTATAACAAGGAATTCCTATTTCAATTTACAGACTTCTAGCATCATAATTTGCAACATTTTCATACAAAGTTCCACCCCCTATTAAGTAGATGGGGCATGAAGTTCCAGTTTTAGATTTTTTCTGTTATCTGAGAACTAATACCATCTTACATACCAAATTGCAGCTTTCTACGACTTCAGGAAGTACCCTATAGGTTTTGATGATCATCAGTAAGTACAAGCACCGAATCAGGGTTTTGTAGATATCAATAAAATGGAAAGTATAAGAGCTATGCAACTGAAACATTGTATAGTTAATAAGTTTATTATTGGGTTCATATCCTATTTAATATTAATAAATAAAGCTCTACTCTCACTGATACTCTATGTATTTTGTGGTAACTTAGGATGATGTTTCTAGAGATACCCTATACATTCATATCCGTTATATCTTTCAAAAGTTATGGTGCAATAAAAAATCTCACATACATACATTAATTCTAAAAACAATAGACTCCTTTTCGAGAGCAGTCGTGTTAAAATATTCGGGAATCGATAATGAATCTCACCATAGAAATACTAAAAAAAATACAAAAATTGGGAAAAGTATCAAAATAGCTTGGTCGTAGTTTCAACACAGTATTGTGGACTCATGACCTTGAACAAGTTGTCGAGAACTCGGAACGCTTCAAAATACCTAATCTCACAGAGTGAAAATTTGTCATATGGCTCTTAAGTGTGTTTTTTTGAATTCACAATACTAATATTATATTTGTATCCAGTCTTGAGCATCTGGGACGGATGTCGGAGGTATATCAATTGTCTATAAAATTAATTAGATTAATTTTTTCGTTCGTACCGCCTTATTTTATTTCTTCAGTCGCGACTGAGGAAATATAATCCTTCCGGTAAAACCAAATCGTTCTATATATTTTTATAAATTTTCCTATATTTCCTATACCTATCTTGTCCTGACACTATGGAACACATAAAAAAGAAGTTACACGCGTACATATATTTTGGCGATTAATTTTTATATATACGAGTATATATAATTAATTATTATATATATAGAAACTCAACTTAATATATATAAAAATTAATCGCCAAAATATATGTACCCACGTAACTTCTTTATATATATATTAACTAGCTTTTGGCTAGTGACTTCACCCGTGTGGACCTGTATAATATATATAAACCTTCCTCTTAAATCACTTTGCATATTGTTGAAAACCGTTTTAAAATCCGTTGAGTAATTTAAAAGATCTCAGCGTACAGACAGCGGGAAGAGACTTTGAATAAAAAATAAAACCATTGATATAAAAAAACAAGTAGTATTTCAAAAAGAGAAAAAAAAAACAAAATCAATAAATACAATAATGATAAGAATTATATAATTTAAAAACAAAAACGTGCATGCGCCTTCATACATAAAAGTGATATTTTTAAAAACAAATACTACATTAACTTTCACTTTTGAAATTGTATATGCATTCCTTAAATAAAGGTTAACTAACAATCTAAATGAGTTGGAACGGAAGTTACAAGTGCCGATTTTTTAAAGACATACATATTCTTCATGCTATTACATTCCACGGTTTCCCCTCTTTTGTTATAGTTGGCACGACCTAAAAAACAATAGAAAAAAACCTTACATACTGTTAATATAATAAGTAAAATAGATTAAAGGATTTTTTAAACAAGATTTTATTAAGTGTATTGTATTTTTTAATTTGATGCCCATATTGGGTGGATTGTTCAGAAATATGTACGCCGCCATTCGGTTACGGCGGCATTTTTGGATTAATAATAATACGATTATATGTGCTCGCGACTTCGTCCGCGTGAAATACTGACTATGGCAGCCTCTTTTTTGTTTTTCATTATCTATATTTGATGAACAATTTGTTTTTTTTTATATGACATTTCATATAATTATCATGCTAAATTCTAGTTGTCACTTTTGATGGACATTCCGTTCAGTTGCATAAACGTCCATTAAGGTTTAATAACGTCTTTAAGCTCTAATTAATCCCAAATTTGTATGGGTAATGTGGCTTTACATTAATGAATATTTTAATGGACGTTTGTGCCACAGGTATCGGTCAGTTGTACAAACATCTATTAAAGGTTTAATGACATCTTTAAGCTATTATGAATGTCAAATATGTATGAGTAATGTCGCTTTAAACTAACGAATATATTAATGGACCTTTGTGCAATTAACTATTAATGTCCTAAATAACGGACCTTGCTGTGATACAAGCTTCAATAATAATCTGTTTGGAAATGGATTCTAACCTGATTCAAAGGCAAAACTGAAAAACCTTATAAAATAAAAAAATAATACTTATTTTAGAGGCGGTATCAAGTAAATTCTATTTAAATCGAGAGTTAATTACGAGTATTAATAACCTACACTAAATCTACACCCAAAATTTCTTGAAAATGTCAAGTGCTTTAAGGATTATTTCAGAATTTAATTTTTTTTGGATAATTTAATTTTTTTATTATATTCTATCATTTTAGTGATATTACATAAATTAAAGTTACCAAAATCATAGGTAGTCAAAATACACAATTTTTTTTTTCGAGAATTGTTTTATGGAAGCTGAAGTATCAACGATATAATTATTACAGTTATTAACAAAAACGTCTGAACTGATTTAGATATTTTTAAAGGAGCAACCTGAGGGGTATCTTCTATCCAATTATACCCACGAATAATCAAATTTGCAAATAAAAAAGTAACGCGTGACTAACTTAAAAAATATAAGTATATCAAAAATAAATAGAGAATCTTTCGGATCTTTCGTTGGGTAAAAATTATCTATACAATTGTAAATGCTTTCGAAGTTAAATTTGGTGATTTTGGGTTTACGACCCTCTTAAATAAATGCCGAACATCATTAGACATTTTGTACCCACTTGTCTGGTGATGTGATCTTCACATCCCATTCTTATTCGGGCGCATGTTGCAGGTACATCCATATTAAATGGAACACACGTGTCCGAAATGCCGGCATCGCGCCGTGCCGATTTAATGGCTTCCTTAATCGCAAAGAATACAGAAGCTGCTAGGAAAAGTGGAGGTTCACCAACTGCCTAAAAATTTCAACATTTGCTTTTACATGGTTGTGAACGTGCATTATGTATATTCAAAAATAACATATAATCATCATCATCATCAGCTTATTAATATCCCACTGCTGGGGCACAGACCTTACTTATGCATGGAATCGAAAAGGAAGAATGGGCTATGATTATGACCCACCACGTGGGCACAGTACCTACCCAGTAGGTGTTAACGACTGCAGATGCAGCCGGGACCAAGAGCCTAATGTGCTGAACCATGGAGGAGTCGAGATAACAAATTTTGGTCACCCATCCGATGCCCGAACCTCGAGAATGTTGCTTAACAACCGTATCGCAGACAGAACGCTCTAACCACTGAATCAAGCTGAATCAAAAACCACATATAACAAAATTTATTTGTTTCATATATTTTGCAACTTTAGTTACCCTTTGATCATAAAACCACAATCAAATAGATATAACATTGCACCTTTTTTTTTATTTAACATTGCACCTTTTTGACATAGGTACATTTTCATAAACAAGCATTAATATTTATTTAAATTAGTTGTTTCTCTCTAATCAGACGTATCACATGAATATTGAAAAACTATACGAACTGTATCTATATTTATCTAATGCTACGTTTATTAAAACAAAATTCTACACAACAATTTACATTATCTTAATTCTAGAACTAATCTACTAACTAACCCTAGAACTGAACTCTAACCTTTGGAGCGACATAAACTTTATTTAGAAACAATGTTAGTATGTTTCACTTGATAGCTTATTTAAGCTAAGATATAAAACTTAATACATACCTTGGATGAATAGACAGCCCTTGGATTCGGTGCACCTTTTAACAAACTTACATTGAACTCTTTGGGTATATCCGAGATACTTGGTATCTTGTAAGTACCAGGGCCACGTGTAAGAGCTTCTCCGCTAGGCGAAAACAACATTTCTTCCATAGTATAAAAACCATACCCTTGCATAAAAGCGCCTTCTATTTGACCTATGTCAATGGCTGGATTCAAACTTTCCCCAAGGTCCATGACTATATCAGTCCTTAACACTCTATGATCACCAGTCAAACAATCTATTAATACTTCACTACACGCCACCCCATACGTGAAGTATTCATATAAATTTCCCTTATTAGACTTTGGATCGTATTCTATTTTCGGAGCCGCGTAGTAACCTGTCGCAGTTAATTGAATTCTATCTAGGTACGCTGCCTTAACCCACTCTTCCCAAATACCAGCGGAGTTGTCATCCTTATAAGGTTTCAATCTATCATTCAAAATATTACAAGCATTTATCACTGCCATACCGTATAGATCAGAACTTATACTACCAGCTGTCGGAGAACTATTGGGCACTTTGTCGGTAGACATCTCGCTTATATGTATCTTATCCATGTCAATGTCTAAGCATCGTGTAGCAACTTGAATCATCTTCGTAAAGAGTCCTTGGCCCATCTCTATACCTCCAATTGATAACAGAACCGAGCCATCTCTATATACATGCAATAAAGCTCCAGCTTGCATCAAAAAGTCGGCTTGAAATGATATGCCGTATTTTGTGGGAACTAAAGCTATACCTTTTTTCTTCCACCGATAAGATCTGGACAATGAAAATAAATAATAAAGTAAAATATTTTCACTGTCAAAGTTATACATATAACCAAAGACAAATTTTGAATATACATACCTATTAAACACTTCAACTTCATTCTTCCTCTCCCAATATTTTGAAGTTTCAATACATTCATCCCAACATCTCCGTAGAGTGCAGTAGGTAAGCGTCTGATTGAAATGTGTCATTTGGCCTTCTCTATAAAGATTTACTGCTACTAAATCCTCATAATCTGTATCTAATGCTTCAGCTATATCTCTTATCATACATTCGGCAGCAAACATTGCTTTAGGTGCTCCAAAACCTCGAAATGCAGTATTGGATGTCATATTAGTTTTACAGAGATATCCATTCACTTCAATATTTGGAATGAAATAACAGTTATCCAAATGCATTATGGCCCTTTCAATCATCTGAAAGTCATAAATACTGTCATTTCTATAAAGTTAACAGCTATGGTCTTCACCCATCGCCTCCACCACCAAATCCAATCCACCTCCATACCAAACAGAAAACGGCAAATCGTGAAAACTGTATAATGCTTTTAAAATTATGTTAATTAACAGTAGGTGTGTAAGTAACAAAATCGTACCGAACATGATATATCCATTGAATTTCCTGCATTGCCATAAAAATCAAAAACAGCGGCAATAATTTTGCCAGTACCATCGTAAGCAGCTTTATATTTGATCAAACAAGGATGTCGATAACCAGAGACTTGCATATCTTCATCACGATCTAAAACGGCACGTACAGGTTTCTTCAATCTATAAGCAGCTAGTGCCACAGGTAAAGCTAAAATGGCTGCTCTGGTTTCTTTTCCTCCAAAACCTCCTCCAATTCGTTTTACTTTGCACGTAATTTTGTGATTTGGTATTTGAAGAGCTTCAGATGCAATACGCTGCAATAATAAATATTTTTTTCAATTATGATATTAAGATACAATAATATAATTATTATTTTTTTAGTTACCGCAATATCTGCAGGATTTTGAGTAGTCGCGATAATTTCTAATTCGTCTTCTTTTCTGATTGCATAAGCTGAAATAGTTTCTAAATAAAAATGTTCTTGCGCACCACTTCTAACCGTTCCCTCCACAGTCATACTATATTGTTCAAATGCTTTCTTAACGTCTCCTTTCTTTAAAACTCTTTTATAGCCAGGATAGAACGAATTATACATTATTGCATCTTCTATTGTTATTATTACAGGTTCAATTCTTTGATAAATCACTACAACCATATCTTTTGCTTTTCTTGCAATACTTTCAGATATTGCTACTATAGCTCCAATGACACAAGCACGACTTGTAACTATATTTCTTGAAAATATTTCTTCATCTTTTATAATAGGTCCCATTTTATTACATTCATCGTCTAAGTCTTCTGCTGAAAAAAATGCTTTCACGCCGTGTAAAGCCAAGGCATCACTAGCATCTATAGATATTATCTTAGCAGACGGTTCCTTACTAAATACCAGACATAAAAAAAGTTCTCCTTCTATAGACGGAACATCATCACAATATAGAGCTTCTCCGGTGGCTTGTTTAATAGCTGACGTATGAGGAACTGGTTGCCCGACAGTATCAGAAGTAGATATTTTATCTTTTATCTCTAAATATTGGGAACTCTTAGGTATCATTTTAGGAATTCCATTAATAGCACTTAATATTTCAAGTGTTAACGAGTTACCGTCAGCTTTAGAAATGGAATCCAAAACATACGAGTAAAATCTATAGAAGAAACTTAGACATAGAGATTTTCGGTAATCAGCCATACCACCCGGAACTGAAATATCTAAATTCAATTCTTGTGTTAAAGAACAAAACAATTCATGAAGCATATTTTCATTCCACTTTTGACCTTTTAAAAATTCCGATGATTTTTTCGCTAGTATTGTTGTTGGTGCCATACCACCAAAACACAACTTTGCATCTCGTACTGTGTCACCAGTATTTTTATCAAAAGTAATATTAAATGATGCTGTCACTATAGATATATCGTCGTCTCTTCTTCTCGCTTGTTTATATGCTTTAATATGCTGGTAATCTGACGAAAACGGTATTTCAACGGATAAAACAACTTCGTCATCTTCAACAACTGTTTTACGGTATTCAGTGAAAAAATTTTCATCAATACATACCTTCCTATTCCCTCTACTTAAACTACAAACATTAAGTATAGAATTCGTTGACATGAGTATTGGGTTTAAGTCTGATATAGGACTTGCTGTGATAATATTACCCACCAGTGAAGCGACATTTCGAACTTGGCGACCCGCAAACCAATGAAGCATATCTTTGATAGTGCCAAAAACTTTACCTTCTTTGGGTTGATCTCTACAAAATTTCGCTAAAAATCTGTACAATTCCGTTAAAGTGAACGCAGCACCAACAAGAATCCCATCATCCAAAGCCTTACAAAAATTCATGGACGCTATATTGACTGGTGAAATTAAAAGTTTATAGAATTTCTTTTTAAATTTCACATCTACTCCTATTTCCGTGTTGCCTACCACTATTTTACTATGTGGAAAATTGTGTTTTAGTAAAATGAGCTCGTTAATATTTGTCGGTCTAATCCAAATAACATTTTTACCTTTAAAGTATAGGTATTCTTTACTTCGATCATTGATTTTAAGTTCTGGTGGAAAAATTGGTTCTTGCGTAGGATCATATGGAGTAAATTTTGATTTTTTAAATAAAGCGCTGTCGGTCACCGTTTCTCTTTGGCGACAACAATATCTGCCCATTGAACATCTTGGTACTGAGTCATCTCTAAAGTAGTATTTTTCCCATCCCTCCATAAACACTTTGAATCCGTCTATTATCGGCCTATATCCTGTGCATCTGCAGAGATTGCCTTGCAGTGCAGTTTCTATATCAACGTATTCAATTTTCCTCCTGTATCGCAGTAAAGTATACATTGACATTACTATTCCCGGCGTACAAAATCCACACTGTGAGCCATGAGCTTTCGCTATTCTCTCTTGTACTGGATGCAATCGTTCTTGAGCTGTACCGATACCTTCTACTGTAGTCACGGCGAGACCGTGCATTGCACATACAGGAGTGAGACAAGCGTTTACGGCTATATGTCTGTCGTATAAACAAAAGAAAATAGTCAGCTAATATCAAAATCTACCGCAATCCCTTACGGAGGTATAATGAATGTGCGTATAGCGATTAACAGCACTATGTAACGTTGAAATTCGCTATCGCTTTTAGAACAAATTATGATCTGAATGATATAGAAACATACTAAAAAATTAAAGTAATATTTGCGTCTAACGCTTACCTTAGATCCTATTTACGTTAAATACTTAGAATCTCTTAGACGCTATTTTCATTCATCATTTTTTCATCAGCCCTTTTTTTGTCCCCACTGCAGGGGCTCAGGCCTTCCTTATGGATGGTTAAGGAGGATGGGCCATGACCCTCCACGCTGGCCCAATGCGGATTGGAGGGTATTAATGACTGCAAATGCAGCCGGGACCAACGGCTTAACGTAGAGAGTAGCTCGAGATAATAATTTTTTGGTCACCCATCCCGTGACCGACCCCTGCGAAAGTTGCTTAACGACAACGATCGCGGGCCGCGGCGCTTAACCACTACGCCACCGAGCTACTACTTCAGAGTTCGATTAGAGCAGAGTATCTCAAAATTTTGGCTAAATTAACTCACGTAAAAGATTCCAGATGATAGCGAACTCTTTTATAATTCATCAACCCTCCCCCAAATAATTAATAAATTGGTTGTTGAACAAAATAAGTTTGTAATATTAACGCTTTTTACGTTAAATTAAAGATATCGTCCATTCAATACCTTCGAAAAAAGTCGCTTATGTTGAATTAAAAGGTATTGCTAAAGAATTTAAAATTAGACCATTAAGCCCAACGTTAATGATTTCAGTTTTTCTACACCAACTATCTGACCAGGCAAACGTTGTATTGTCATATAAATCGCTTATCATTTAGGGGTATAACAATAGGTAACAACTTATTCTCAAACCTACTAATTATATTGATTTTTTATCTAACCTATAATTAAGATTTAAAATTTCATCAAAATTGGTCAAACCGTTTCTGACTAAAAACTGTGACTTGCCAATGAAGGTGAAAATTGTTCAAATTACTCCTATAATATTGACTTTATTTGCGACAAAAAAAAATCAAGCCCTACACATTTATATTAAAGAGATATTTCTTCTGGCACTGCACTTGTTACCTATTAATATTACAAACTTATTTTGTTCAACAACCAATTTATTAATTATTTGGGGAAGGGTTGATGAATTATAAAAGAGTTCGCTGTCATCTGGAATCTTTTACGTGAGTTCATTTAGCAAAAATTTTGAGATACTCTGCTCTAATCGAACTCTGAAGTAGGTAATTAATTATATATACCTGACATCTTGTCGATCTTTCAAATATTGAGATATCATAACAGTGCAGGCACCGCAACCGCCTTCCCCGCATCCGTACTTAGTACCTGTAAGGTGTAGTTTCTTTCTCAAGTACCATAGCAAAGTCCATTCTGGGTCAGGGCTGTGTTCCACCACCTGAAATACATGGAAGGAAAACTCTTTAAAATAATGTTTGTTTAGCTTTAATATTTGCTATAAAAAATGTATGATAGACATTTAACTTCGGAACTAGAAGGTTACTCGGAAAACGAAATTTCGTCTATTTTCGAATCGCTAATAACACTCCGAAAAACCTTTTATGATATTTAATGATACAACGGAGGTAGGATCTCACACTGCCTCTGATGCATAGATAATCCTCATGGATATGATTTTAACGTCATAAAAAATCGAAACTTTTAGAATTTTCGTTCGGACAGAGTCTGCAGAGCGATTCTGTAAAAATCCGATCATTTATGTTACCAAATTCACATAATTTAATGAAGAAATTATATTGATTCCATTTTTTGTTTAAAAATACAAAACAAATTTGATTAATAATACGTGTCTCAGATATTATATTCACTTCGAAACTCACTCCACTTAAGCTACGAAACGTTATTACCAATTCAAGATTGAGCGTAAACCACTTTTTGAAGTGAATTCAGACACCGGAGTGAATTCGAAAAAGTAAAAGCTATTGAAGTATAAATAGTTAGAAGAGAATTTAAAGAATATTAGTTTCGCATTTGCTGGTTTATTTGATGTCTTTGAAAATGTCTTGTCTTATTTGCAATAGTACCTAAGTGGGTAGAGGCCGACTATACTGGATAAGAGACGGTCAATATGTGATGCACATGAGGCAGAGTACTGGTGGAAAGTGCTATATTTCGTTTAATGTTGATAATTTATATAATTCTAATCGAATTATAACATTTTGTTAATTTTTTTTAAATTATAATAAATAACTTGTCTGATAAAAATAGATGTTATTATTATAATTTTAAAAATATAGTTGAATCATATTAATATTTTCATTAAAAGGCGACTACTACGTATTTTATTTCCAAAAAATAGATAGGTATACTAATTTTTTAGTCCATTAAATATATATTAATATTATGAGGGAAGATTTGATTGAAAATTACATTTAATAGGCTCCAAAACTAATGGACCGATTTTAAAAATTCTTTCATCTATGGGAGCTTCATCATATACCCACAATCATAAATTAATAAAACAGGTAGGCTACGAATTACACATTTGGCCATTCCTTTAAATAAGCTTTGGCCCATCACGCAGGCCTAATGCTGTTTTTTGGATGCAAACAACTTCCGCAGCCGGAACAAACGAACCAACCTAATATGCCTTCCGAAAAAAGTCTACCTCCTTAAAAAATAACAAGAATCAACTTATGTTTCCATTCCTTATGTTTGTCATAAACTCGAACAAATTAATAGGTATAATTATATTCACATGGTTGCATGTGTTATATTCCTTCTCCAAATTCCAATGGGAACACAGTTGATTCGCCGTGAATCATGACAAATAGAAAAAATAACTTACCTTCTTTCCATTAACGAAAAACACTAACTGCCGCTGCGCATCTTGAGGCACTATACTGTCCAATTCTTCCATAATTGTCTGGAAGAAACTGATCCAGTAAATGCAGCTTGAAAATCAAGTTGCAAAATGTAACGAAATCCGTGCGTGTGGCAAACCGGCATGTGGCAGCGGCAAGAAACGGAGGTCGAGTGTCCTCAATCCAAGATAGATTGAATTAAGTAGGTATGCGATATTTATTTTGTATAGTGTAAATAAATGGCAGTAGGTATTAACATAATTTAGTAGAGAGTAACGAGAGATACGAGATAGATACGATATATAAATCTGGTTATATAAACGTTCGAGTTAATAAATTAGAACTTGTTTACAAATACATAGGTTGCCTAGCTAAACTCAAAGACTCTCATTGTAAAAAATTTACCTATATTAACTTCCCCACAAATCTTAATAATTAGTATACTAATCGAGAGAATACGATGGGAAAACGAAAGGGGGTAGATCGGCATCATTTTCTTGGGTAAAAAGTACACAACAAAAGTATCTCATACCGGAAGACTGGGCAATACGCTCAACAAGCGCGGACGATAAGTGTGAGGGAATCGCGTATGAGCGCATCCCCTCCTGCGGACCTCCGGACAGGATGACACCCCACCCGCGCCCCTGCGGTATTATTCTGCAGGGACCGTGCCCGTCAAGAGAAAATGCGATCAAACATCCTGGATTTTTCCCAGCCCGCAAAAGACTTGTCGGACCGCAACTTTACCCTTTTGTAGTCTTGGTGAGGCAGTGTAACATTTTCTAGTTTCACATGTGTGCAATTACCTCTTCTTAGCGTAAACGTAACTTGAACTAACTTGATTGCACTTGCTTGTTGTTATTGTTATTTTATCAAGTCCCTTCTACAATATTTTTGATGTTACGGCTGGATCTCTATTACTTGCTAGGATCGCCGTATTAGCAAATGTCACCGTTGTAACACACGAACACGTTACTTGTAGTAGGTTTGCTGCAGAGATGTTACGAATATGTTATTTCAGTTTCGGTTACCGATACGGATATTTGAGAATTGTTAAATCGGTTTCGGTTACGGTTACAGATATGATTTCCTCTCGAATTACCCAGTAATTTTCATCGGATAACTGACATCGGATTCAGTTACGGATACTAGATTTTTGAACAATTGTAAATAGAGAATACAAATAGACAACTACGTTTTATTTCTAGAGGTATTTTATTTGGTACTTCCATCAAATTAAGTTAAAAAAAATTTCAATTGAGATGTATAAACAAAATTCTTACTGTCAGATTTAATAGGTAATGAAAAGCATTTAATATTTTTTAATTACAAAAATTAATTCATGCTCTGAATGAATTTAATGAACTTAATTATACACCTTTGTTTGTTTATGAATTATTTTGCTCTTTGGTTTACGAACTTGGGCACCATAGCGTTTAAGAACATTTTAGACTAAAAGCACATTAAAAGAAAGCTCATTTTCCTATATTTTTTTCGTATGTTGTATTTTATTACAAGCATTTTAAAAAGTCTTATTACATTCACTTAAGTTTATTTTTTGTTTGTGGCGTCTAATTGATTTACTCGATTTCAATTACATTTAGCAAAAAAACCTATATTGGAAGAAATCGAATCAGTATCTGAATTAAAAAAAAAACACTTTCAGGATGTGCAATAATTATGTTACACGTTGTACATTTAGAGAATATGGCAGATATTCGATTATCGTGAGTCCTATGCCGCCTTACCAGTCGTACAAGTGCTTTGGGGTAAGTTAAATGTGATATCTTAAAGATTATAAAGATTCGGCCTCTATCCGAAATTATCTGAAACTTTTATTACGGTTTCGGATACGGATATTTTTTATTTCGGATACCCGATAGTTTCGGTTACTGTTACGGAGCTTCTCCTGGTTTGCTCCTAGTCTCCTGGATATGGGCAGCCTGGATGGTGGATGGTGGTGGGCCGAAACGGGGACGATTTTACGTGGGAAGTCGCCTTGGGTCCGTTACCGTGCGTCGTTCCTCGTGGAGAGGGACTTCGTTAGGTTTTAGTGGGTATGCCCCTATTTAACGAGCGTTCATTCTGGGGTCCGCAGAGTTCCACATAGCTTCAGAAACACGGAGGAGCAGTATTATGTGGTTGTAGTAGTAGTAGTAAGCCGGTTTTTTTAATTTTAATTCTTAGCAAGCTTCTTTGTTATTTTGCTTAGGATAAAGTTCTTAGACCGCATTAAATGTATACCAACTCATTGAGTGGCTTCACATACCGTGGTCTATATTATATATATAAATAAACCTTCCTCTTGAATTACTCTGATGTAGTGAATGCAATCTCGCGAGATTGGGACTCGAGCGAGATCTCGCGAGTTTATGAATATCAATACCGTGAGATCTCGCCAATTAAGAGATCTCGCGAGATTGGCACTTTTGTGTGTTTACTGTTTTGCTATAATATTTATTCAAATCACAATATTTGAATAAATTATGAAAAATAATAAAAGGAATTACACGTATTATGAAATGAACATTTATTTATATGGATATTTTCAATAAAGTTTTATTTATTTATTATTGTTTGAAGCAATTTTAAGTATTGTTTATCTAAAACCTTTAAAAAAGTGCAATCTCGTTAAACTCGCGAGATCTCGCCCATTTTTCGACCGAGGTCAATCTCGCTAAAGGCCGGGATCTCGCGTGAACGAGATTGCATTCCCTATTCTGATGAAAACTGCATAATACGTAGAACCTCGATAACTCAAAACTCGGTAACTTAAAAACCTCTATAACTTCAAAAAATAAGATGTTCCGTTCCCATCAGAGCCCAAAACCTCAATAACTTAAAATACACAACCTCTGTAACTTAAATAAGTAATCTCTGTATTGGCCCTCAGTAACTTAAAGAAATGCTTCCACAACCTCTATAACATTAAACCTGTTTGATGAGTCATTTTGAAAGAGTGTGCAAAACAAAAGGTTTCGGTATTTATTGCTTGCACGTGTTCACTAGTTAAATTGTTAACATAAAACATGTTTTTTTTTTGTTTTAAACGATTCACAGTTTCTAAATCGATTTAAAGAAGTTCGAAGAAGCAAGCAATAGGTGATATTACATATATTATATTACATATATCACCTATTGCTTGCTTCTTCGAAATTCTTTAAATTGATTTAGAAACTGAATCGTTTAAAACACAAAGAAAAACACACTTTTTTAAGTAGACTAAACCTTTGTTGTTTTATTTTTATGTAACGTGTGCAATGTGAATAAATAAATATGATTATTTAAATTTCTGTATTTATTGAACCAGTCCTTCTGACGCATTCGAGTAAAAATAGGAACAAGGAACAAAATAGGAACAAAAAATACATACATATGTACATACTTACCTCTATATTAACCTATCCCTAACATAGACCCTTGATAACTTAAAACCTCTATAACTTAAAATATTTTATCTTTCTCTTGGACTTTAACTTATCGAAGTTCTACTGAAATCGGTTGTGTAGTTTAATAGTTCTCAGAGTACAACGTAGCGCAATGCTAGTATATATCTATATAAGAATCTGAATCTCGGAAATGACTCCAGCGGTTTTCATTAAATTTAATGTGCAGGTGATTTTGGGGACGATAAACAGATTTAGCTAGGTTTAATTTACAAAAAAGACCGAAGTAGCTTCTTCTGTATTTTTTGTGGAACATCCAGGTTCTAAAATAGAACATAATACGTTGCACATCATTGTTGTTGTACTGTTTTTATGTCTACTATAGTAGTATTATAATACTGCGGTAAGTAGCAGTCTGTAGCTAACTTCACAACTAAATATTCTTAATTACCTAGCTCCTTAGCATGTGTTATATGCAACTATAGCACAAATTAAGTATCAGACATTAGTACTACATATAAAATATAGTTTGTTTAATTATTGCATTTTTAAGATTCCGTGCTAAGAAAAATGGAGAAAACAAAATACCCGACTGCGTAAAAACTAATTTTCATAAATACATAAAAAATTAACTTAAATAAAAACCAAAAAGAAAGAAATAAAATTTGAATGGGCTCCGACTGTGAGTCGTTCTGCTCTGCATTAGAATTTATGATTTATTTTATGTGTGTATCGATTATTAAAACTATTTCAATTGTGTAGTTATTTAGTATAACTTAACAGAATTCTAAACAACTGGGCTTGTTTCTTTCTTTTTAATTTTTATTTAAGTAAATTTTTTAATGTAAAATACATTAATTTCAAATTCATTTTTACGCAGTCGGGTTTTTGTCTTTCTTTAAATTATTTATTTTTATTTTATACTTTTTACTTATATATCGAGTTCATCTATCGAGCTTGGTGGTAAACTTGTTTTTACTCGGCGATTTGGCGATGAATAAAAGGTTTTTTTTTTTGCCATAAATATTTGTTCCTCATGCTTTTTCAGATTTTTTTTTTGTTTGTATATTGTTTATACTTTAAATAAAACCTTAAATCAATAAGTAAGAAAATATGCGAGAATGGTTGTTGTGTTAAAAAACTTTAAATCGTTATATACCCTAAACTATTATTAGAAATGAAATATGATAAAAGGAACACCCAAGACATAGTCCATCGCTTTTTTTTTTTAATTTTTACAATATGGTGTCTGGTTGTCGCTGTGGTGAATTTTGGTTACTGTCATATCTTTAGTGACACTCGCAAGGTTAACACGAATCGATTGACGTAAGAATCATCAACATTTGGTTTCTAGAACGCCACATAGAAACAAACATACATACATAGATTGATACACACATTACCCTCCTTTGCGTCGCGCAGTCGGGTAAAAAGGAACTCGATTGTATGTCTGTTTTTCACACACACCAGATTTTCTCCAAAAATACTTGGCTGATTGATCCATTCGGTACTTAAGTTAGTAACTCTCTATCACAAAAGATAAACATACGGTTTTAGCAGGGTTTGACAACTAACATTGAAATAAATGATTTAAATAAAAATTGTTACCTAAAATCGTGTCGTTGTTAAATAATTATTACAGATATGAGTTACCCTGATTTAAACGAAGA